GCTGGGGGGAGGAAAAAAAAAAAAAAAAAAAAAAAAAAGCGCCTCGCGGCAAATCTAAAACACTTTCATTTTAAATAACAAGAATTAAAAAGACGGTTGCCCTTGGCTAACGGCCCGGCTGAGCTGCCAGCCAACGTCTCCCTTTCCGCAGGGTCTGATCCTACGTGTCAGCACAGGCCAGATCGGCCGGTCCTGCCTCACTTGCTGTGGTTCCCCGGGGCGGGCGGGTTCGAATCCACCGGTTTCCTCGCGGTGCAGGCGGCCTCTCTCTCGAAGCCGGCGACGGCGGCCGCTCCTCCACGCTCGCCCACGGCCAGAGCGCCCAGGGGACCCCTGGGGATCCCTCCTAAATGAATTTGAAGCATTTCGTCTTGTCATGGGGCAGGCGGGTCTTGAAGAGCACCGAGTCCACGCGGAACTGGGTGTACAGGAGGGGCATGTACCCGTACACCTTGACGAAGAAGTTGATGCACTTGTGCCGCTCGTGGAAGTGCGAGTCGTCGTGCGAAAGGGCCTGAGGGCAGCCGGGGCAGCGGAAGGTCCAGCGCGAGGTCACCTGGGAACAGGAACAAAGAGCATCAGCTGACCCTCTGCTCCAGGCTCCCAGGGAGCGACCCATCCCGCTGTCGCTGGTGTGCACCGGCGGCGGCTCAGCCGGCTGCAGCTGCAGAAAGGCCAGTGGAGGAAGTGAAGAGCAACCCAGCTGCCAACGGGAAACCCGGGGAGTTTCTGACACCCCTACTCACGCAAAACCCATTTTCTCTAATATCGCAGGGGTGATACCGGCAACCCACCAATCCCCTAGCCCTCTAATCTTTTCCATCCCCGTGCGGATTTTTTCCATCCATGTGCAGAATATTTTTTTAATTTGCTCCAAGGCATGGGCAAATGTGCACCACCCATAGAAGCACACACATAGCCATGGGTGCTCTGCTAGTCGGCTGGGCGACGCTGGACTCTTTCCTGAGCGGCTGCACAAGCGTCCGGCTTAAGGGAACCTTGCCCCTGAAGCCAGGAGCAAAGAGCCAAGAGAGGTACGTTTCTAACCGATCGCCACAAACAACCATTTCTCCTGAAATCCGAGGCACTGAACGAGGTCCCCCTCTGCTGCTTTACCTTGATGGGCGGTTTCCTCGTGATGTGAGAGACGAGGAAGTTCATGGCAATATCCTCACAGTTGATGTATTCGTCTACCATGTCACGGATGGCTTGCGGCATCACGTAGGAATACAGGTAGGCGTAGTACTGAAAAACACACACACTCAACAGGACACCACACCCACAGACCGACAACAGACCCGACCCAAAGCCCACCGAAGTTGGCGACAGGCTCCCAAGAACAGCGCCGGGCGAGGATTCCTCTCCAAGCCGGGTTCTGCTCCACTCACTCGCAGAGGAGCAGTGAAGTCACCCCACGGATGCCACTGCAGCTCCTGGGGCCTCTCCCCTTTGCAATCCGGACAGGCATGCCCCTCCCCCCAAATCTCGCACCACAATGTTTCTGCTGCATCTTGGTCTCTTCCCTGCCAGGAAGGCAGAGGAAGAGCCCTTTAAAGACAGAGCCCCTCAGTGGCCCAAAAGGGATGCAAAGCAGGGATGTAAAACCCCACTTAATTGGTTAACTTCTTAAGCATGTTGCGGAGGAGTAGTCCCCTGGCTCCAGCCTCATCGGGTAACCTTAACTGGTAAACCTCCCCTGTTAAGGTTAACCCTTCACATCCCTTATACCAAGAGTCTGTTCTCTACGGCCTTCCCCAGGAAGGAGGAAGGAAGCTGGCTCTTACCCTCTGCATCTGTCCCCAACCTCCCCTCTTTCGATAACAGCAGCCTGGGATACAAATCAAACTTCACCATCACCGATCTACCTACTGCACCCTCTGTGACCCCGTTACTCCTTGCCACACTCAGGGTGCATACAATTAGATCCCAAAATAAGGTTACCACCACAGTTCATTGCTCTTCTCTGGGAGAACCAGAGGCTGTGATTTCCAAGTTGCCAGTTGGGATCCTAAATCCCATTCCCAATGAGATTTAGGTGCCCAACTCCCCTAGCTCTCAAGTGGTTTTTTTCAAGTGAAACACTGCATGGCTGCATTGCAAAGGGCGCTAAGGACACCGGTGTGTAAGCTCCTGTGGGTGTCTCAGCAGCGAGCCTCCGGGTTCCTAAGATGGGAATCTGGGCCAGACTCCTGCGTGGCAGGGCAGCACACTAACAAGTCCCCAAGCCAACCCAGAGAAGAGTCGGCCACTTGGATGGCTGGCGTGGCTGGCATCACAGCCTCTTTGACAGTGTTTCTTAAACTGTGTTCCGTGGCACACCGGTGTGCAGTCGGAGGGCTGCCGCGGAGAACAACAGAGTTCAAAATGGCCACCCTTAAAGGGACAGGCAACATCCCCCCCTCTCCGCCAATAACTTTCCCCCTACCCTATTTTTTTTTTTTCTCAATAACTTTTCGCCAGCCTCTTTTTTTTCTTTCCTCAACAAAAAGTCCTTGGTGTTCCTCATAATAATATATCTAGTTTGGTGTTCCTCAATTTTAAACAGTTTAAGAAACACTGCTCTAAGAGAACTGCTGACACTGAACCAGTGTGACAAAGCTCCTACGGAAACTCGGTGGGTCCTGCACTTCCTGGTAGATTTGCTTGCCTGGGAGGTTCACAGCAGCTCAGTTTTAGGCACCTCGCCCAGCTGTTTCCTGAGCTCTTTTTGTCATCTGCCGGCATACGGTGAAACGGGGAATCAACTCCACAGTTCTTTTCCCTGAGTGGTATTGGGGGGAAACACAGGCCCACCCTCTGCTCCGGGTTCCAGCCCAGGGCCCTGTGGTAGTTGCCTGTGGGAGTCCCTGACATGGGCTATAATACAGCTCCGAGACCCCTGGGCTATTTCCCCACTCCTTCCCCAGCACCTTCCTTCTCTCCGGTTCATCATCCTAGCGGTCAGTTGTCTCCTTCCCTCCTACTCCCAGCAGCACCTCCTCTGTCCTCTCAACTATACACGTGCCCCAACTGTAGGCAATGCTTCTTTATAGCCAGTCTGAACTGGTTTTCTTAATTACCCCAGGTGTCCTAATTGGCCTAAGCTGGCCCAGGTGTTCCACTGCCCCTGACTGCCTCTGCTGGTTCTAAACCTGCCCCTCCCTGTTAATCCAGGAACAGGATCTCCTCAGTCTGAGGCTTACAGAGCTCCCCTCCACGGCTTTTCTATAACCTTGGGCTCTGACCCTGTCACACCAGCTAGGTCTTCCTCCTTCAGCTCAGAGCCAGTCTATGCATCTTTCCCCAGTGAGTCCCACCCATCTCGTGTGTACCGTTTCTCAGCAGGGTTTCAGTTTGCGGTGACCGACGGAGTGAGCGTTGAGACGCAGAGATAAAAGGGAGATGGAATGGTCAGTTCTGGCACTCGTTTCTGTAATTGAAAACCCAGGCTTCTCTGGAAAGGGAACGCAGAGCTGAGATCTGGCCATGGAGTCCGGAGATTGCGTTCTCTTACTTACCTTATGAAAGAAGGCGTTTCTCAGCAGGGTTTCAGTTTGCGGTGACCGACGGAGTGAGCGTTGAGACGCAGAGATAAAAGGGAGATGGAATGGTCAGTTCTGGCACTCGTTTCTGTAATTGAAAACCCAGGCTTCTCTGGAAAGGGAACGCAGAGCTGAGATCTGGCCATGGAGTCCGGAGATTGCGTTCTCTTACTTACCTTATGAAAGAAGGCAGCACCAGTCAGTACCATGGAGAGTTCACAGGAGTAGTTGGAGTTATAGAGCCAGGACTGATGGGGGATGTCCCATGCGTGGTATCGGCCCGGGAATCCTACAATGCGGTCCCTGGCCTCTCTCCAGACCCTGCCAATGCAAAGACAGAACATCAGCGGGGCAAGACCACAGCATGCTCAAACGGGGAAAAGAATCTCTCAGCCTGTGACTTTGGGGTGGCTCTCCCTAACAACGGGATGGACGATTAGCCAAAGATCCCTGGCCACAAAACCACCCATTGAAATAGGCACTTGGGGAATTCCTGGCCCCACCGCAGTCAAGGGCAAAACTCCAGTGAGGCCAGGACGGGAGTTCAGTCATTATCCCCATTTTACAGATTCAGAAACGGAAGCATCGAGGTGGAATTTCCAAGGACAAGCAGCCCTGGGCTAACGCTGCCCCCTTGGAAGCCGATGGGCATTTTAGCACCGACTGCAGTGGGAGCAGAGTTACGCAACGCCAAGCGCTTTTCAAAAGCCCCGGGCTAAGGAACATGCCTGAGCTCACACAGTCAAGCTGGAAACAGAATGCCAAGTCTCCTGGCTGGAGTTGCCAGATGGTTTAACCAAAAATACCGAACACCCTCCTCTCCCCTTAAAAAAAAACAAACAAACAAAAAAAAACAGTTGGGGGGGGGAAGGGGGAGACCAAAGTTGTTGGGCAAAAAAAAAAAAAGGACCCCGACAATTATTAAGCAAAACAATTTAAAAATACAAAAAAAACAGCATGGCCCCTTTAAGGCCTTTGGGGCTTTTTGTTTTCTTGCTCCGTGCCACAAGACAGCTTCCCTGCAGAACCAGGTAAGCAGAGGGAAGAGGGGGAATGGGGGGAGAGGGTCTTGGGGCTGGGAAGGCGCCGGGGGCTGGGCCCGGTTGCTGAATGTCGTAGGATTGCCAGGTGCCTGGTGTTTTCGCCTCCTGGCAGGAAAAAAAAATCAGAAAAATACTGGCCATTTTAGGTGCCTGGTATTTTCTGATTTTTTTTTTTTTTACCGGACAGGAGGCAAAAATACCGGATTGTCTGGGTCAATACTGGACACTTGGCAACCCTACTTCTGGTGGCCAGATTCAGCTCTGAATACGAAAGAAATTCCGACAAAGCTACAAGAAGCAAACTCCCCACGCTCCTGGCTAAAATGCTTTGTGCCCCCTGGATCCCAAAGAGCTGTCCGAACACCATCATCGAATACACAATTGTACTGGCTGTACTCGGCGCTCATTCAAAATCGGTCTCTCTGTCATGTTCTTTGGTTTTCCAGATGGAAGGAATATTTTTTCCCACCTCATCTAACTTGTAAATGTGGATTTTCTACAGCCTTCAAACCCAACAACCAGCATCCCATCGACCCTCCAGACAAGACCAAACACAGAACACAAAAAGCCAAATGAAATGGGCAGAAAGCGATGAGCGAGGGGAAGTTGGGTTATAACAGAAACGGTTTTGTTTACCACCAAGCCCCCCCAGAACACGCATCGCTCACGTCAAGAGGTTTTATCAACTCAGGGTGAAAAGTTCAATAAAAGCAACTTTTCTTGTTTCCGCTACTTTTGTTCCTCGCTCTTTTCCCGAGAGGGGCAGGACTGTGTGCGTGGGGATGAGGCATGGGCTGGGGAGTCCTGTTACCGGCTCTCTACAGACCCCCTCCTCTGTGGGAACTTGAACAGGTCACCTGGTGCCTCAGTTTCCCCATTTGTCTACCGAGGGCAACGCTGGCTTCTCTCTCTGGGATGGGATGAGGCTCAAGTCACTGGTGTTGGTCAAACGCCAGGGAATCAGTCAATGGAAGGTGCCGCTCCACAACTAAGTATTATCGTTTGTCGCAAGGGTGGGCGTAACAGCCTGGCTCCAGCCACGTGCAGTCAGTGTGCTGAGAAGGAAGGGGTCACGCGCCCCCATTTCTCCCTTGCACAGCCTCAGAAGAGGGTTCATGATTAAGCCTTTAGCGATTCAATGGTGACAATCCCCTATGAGAAAGCAAGCGCTTAATATTCTGGCCTCATTTGAATCTCTCCCCTCACCCGCCCCCGAGGATCCCTCTGGAGCACAGGAAACCTGTCAGGAAGAATTAAGAGAAACACCAGCCTGCGACGTCTAACCTGGGAAATCGGCCTGGCTTTGATCTTGGCTATTTTAGGGTCTAACTTCAAACTGGAACTTGGCGCCTCTTGTCTACGTAGACACATCTCTTAAATGCAGAAAGCGGCTTGTCCTGCATCCCAGGAGCAGAGCGTGGCAACTCATTTTCTTCTGCTTGGTATTGTACAAGTGTCCCCCCCCCCAATATTCCCCCCCTCTGAACGAGCGCTGCAGCGGTCACTGCTTCAGGGCAATAGCAGATGTGCGACCGGGGCATGGCCAATGCCTCCCAGGAATTCATTACATGACAAGCACAGTAAAAGGCAGAGATATTTTAATTGTAGACACTGTTAATTAAATTAATGGAAATCTAATATAACCTGGTAATGAAACCATGAATAATTAAAGCTGGCAGCACCTCCCCAGAACCAATCCTGCTGCTGCTGTTGTTTTTTTGCAGGTTTTTATTAATCCAACATGACTTTGCTTTTAATAGTTGGATCACGGACTATTCATGCCCTTGTTAATTTATTCCAGCTTCTCCACGTCTGCATCAACAGGGGTGCTTTCCCTCCCAAGCAGGAGTCAAGCCCTGGAAATCAAGGCTTTCGACAACTGTCTAACATTTATTCCTTTAAGACAGTGTTTCCCAATTTTATTTGGCCACGGAAGCCTTTTAAACTCAAAGGAATTTTGTGGAACCCCTAACAACAGCCTAGTAGATGGAGCTGAAAAAGAAGACCGCAAATAAGTAAGGATAACAACAAACCAGGTCATGAGATCAACATTTAGTTTAATTGCACATACGTAAAAACAAAAATCACACAATATTAATTATTTTTTTAAAATCAGAAATGTTATTGTCATGGAATTTTCTTGCGGAACCCTTATTTTCACTTCGCGGAACCCCGGGTTCCACGGAACACGATTTGGGAAACACGGCTTTAAGAGGTTCACTGGCACACAGCTGCTTAATTTATTATCTGAACAAGAGCCATGTGAGCACTCCCTCCTGAATGGCCTGCGTAGGAAGAGGCAATCCTTAGCCCTAAAAAGTTACAGCCTCCGGTATCCAACGCAGTAGAGACAAATAACGCAATTCTTGGGCACAGGTTCCGAGACAATGGCTCAGACTGCAGGTGTAACAAATAGCGCTTAGGTTTTTCAACACACTTTCTCTTGGGCGGGCGAACGCCGGTGGTCTTTGCAGGAGATGTGTGTTTTCGGAGGGACCGGAACCCTAACACCATGTGCTAAAGAGAGCGATTTTCTCTCACGGCTTTCAAGCATAAACCAAAGCCGTAATAAGGCACCGTGGCAGGGTAGAGAAGCATCGTCCCTGTTTTACAGCGAGGGAAAAGGAGACACGGTGAGGGCAAGCGAGTGACCCCGGATCGCTCAGCAGGGCGGCGGCAGAGTTGGAGTAGAACCCCAGGGCAGAGCCCTGCAGCAGGACTCAAACCCGATGGGGTCTGACTACCTCTGCTGGGTCCTGGGAAACAGACGAACCCTTGCCAGCTGGCCCTTTGAGGACTTCTGGCCTGTCGGCCTTTTTCCTGCCTCCTCATCACCAGGCATTGCAACCTGGTGGCAGAGCACAGCTGCACTCCTTTCCCCTCTTCCGCTGGCTGCCTGGGCTCTCGGATTCGCGAGGAGAGGCCCAGACGCCAATCCCTGCTGGCCAGAGGAACCCACAAATCTGCTGGGCCAAGACCCCGCCTTGGAAACAGGCCTTTCGGGGAACAGATTTACGAGCTCGTTAGCTAAACGACTTCAAGGTGCAGCCCCCGGAGCCTCCCACGTTTGCAACTCAGACTCCAGTAGAGCCTGCCTCCCCAGCAGGAGCGGGACGGGGACGATCACAACGCGCCAATGACAGGACGTTCGGGGAAAGCGAGTACGACCCCAGCCAATGTGGCAGAGGCAGAAGAGATGTGCGGGGGGATGCTGTCAGGGAGGATTCAGGGCTGCCGGTGGTGCCGGGCAGAGAAAGACGCGTTCCCTGAGTCATGGAAATGCATCAAACTCACCCCCACCAACCTCCCATGCTGCTTCGGGTTTTCACAACGGCCGCCAGTGGAAAATCCATACAAGGGACAGTAGAGGCCCAAAGCTTTCCCCATCAGCACCTACATGGAACCAGATTCCAGAGAGATTCCCCGTCTTTCTGCTTCCTGGCCGGCTTGCGGCCACCCTCTACAGACCAGATTAGATGTGTTCTGCTGATGTCATGGGTGTACACACCACGCCCAGACAGGCCATCTTCTAAGTCAAGGATGGTCTAGATGGTGCTTGGTCCTGCCGTGAGGGCAGGGGACTGGAGGCAATGACCTCTCGAGGTCCCTTCCAGTTGTAGTGTTCTATGACTCTAAGGGTGGGAGGGGGAGTTTAAACCCCTTGCTCGATTCAATCTAGGAACTCTCTGCTGACTTTGTCAACAAGGCACATGACTTGGAGGACGTATGTGAGAGATGTAGATGCCGTGGAAAAGGCCAGGCCAGGCGTAGTCTATTTTCTGCCCAGGTTCAAATGCCATGGCCAAGGGTTAGACGCCAGAGGACACTGCAATAACCATGGTGATCATCATTAATGAAATAGCAAAACGATTTTGTGAGCGGTTCCAAAGCATCGGGCAGTCCGGATTTGGGACTCTACCCCCGGGAGAGACCATCAGCTCATGTCGCAGAGGCTGCTGAATAACCATCAGTTGGCAAAAGCTTTTGTCACTACCCACCTGAGCTGGATCTGACCTGGTGGCACAGGTGGGAATGGCTAGCGACCCTATTATCCACCCCCGAACCATCCAAGTCCTTGCTGAATGGAATCTTTAATGTTGCACTTGCTGACTGCGAGAACCTTAAACTTCCCTCCGCCGCACAGTTTGAGTGAGATACTTAGAAGTATTTTAACGTTGGGGAGCGGGGCTCTTGGTCAGGTCTAAATGCTTAAGAATCACAGAATCCCAGGGCTGGAAGAGATCTCAGGAGCCATTAAGTCCAGCCCCCTGCCCAAAGCAGGACCAACCCCAACTCAATCAACCCAGCCAAGGCTTTGTCAAGCCGAGACTTAAAAACCTCTAGGGACGGAGTTTCCACCACCTCCCTATGGAATCCATCCCAGTGCTTCTCCGCCCTCCTAGGGAAATAGTTTTCCCTAATCTCCAACCTAGACCTCCTCCACGGTAACTTGAGACCATTGCTCCTTGTTCTGCCATCTGCCACCACTGAGACCAGCCTCTCTCCAGCCTCTTTGGAACCTCCCTTCAGGAAGCTGAAGGCTGCTCTCAAATCCCCCCTCACTCTTCTCTTCTACTAAATAAGCCCAAATCTCTCAGCCTCTCCACATAGGTCACGTGCTCCAGCCCTTAATCATTTTGGTCGCCCTCCGCTGGACCCTCTCCAATGTGTCCACATCCTTTCTGTAGTGGGGGGACCCAGAACTGGACACAATACAGGCAGTCCCCGGGTTACTTACAAGATAGGGACTGTAGGTTTGTTCTTAAGTTGAATTTGTATGTAAGTCGGAACTGGTACATATTGTAGGGGAAACTAGCCAAACTTTTCTCCAGAGCTCAGTTTTATTCTCCCACACCTCACTTCCCTCAGTCCTTTATTCTCAAGCTGAGGTGTCTGCTGAGAAAAGCCGCTCCGCGTCTCCCTGGTCTGCTGGGGGGGGCGCTAGCTTCACGTCTCCCGGGTCTGCTGGGGGGAAGCAGCTAGTGCGGGGTTGCCTCACCCCGTTTGTAAGTAGGGATCCGATGCAAGTCGGATCCATGTAACCCGGGGACTGCCTGTACTCCAGATGTGGCCTCACCAGTGCTAAATAAAGGGGAATAATAAGCAATGATCACAATAATTATGGGTAGGGCTGGTAGCACCATGGGTATGTCTAGACTACAGGGTTTGTTGACAAAAGTCCACTTTTGTTGACAAAAATATACCTGCGTCTACACTAGCACCAAGTTCTGTTGACATAACGTTGACAGAACTTGGCAGTTTTGTCAACAGTTGTAAACCTCATTCTACAAGGATTAACGTCTTTTGTCAACAGAGTTCTGTCGACAGAAGGCATTATTACATCTATACTGTCCTTTGCGTCTACACTGTCATGTCGACAAAGCGGCTTGCTTTGTTGACAGAACTGGATGTAGTCTAGATGCTCTTTGTTGACAGAAGCTCTGTCAACAAAACATCTTTTGACAAAAGCCTGTAGTCTAGATGTACCCCATATATGTTCAAGGCTGCCCAAAGGTTCCCATTATAAGACCCTGTTTTCAGTTGCTTATAACATTGTCAAACTAACTATTCAGGTTGAAAATTCCCCCCCAAAATGGTTCAGCTGTTTTCTGAGAACAGGATGAGGGGAAAACACGTTGTTTTGTCCATGGTAAAAAACTGCAGTGACCTTTTCTTGTGCAAAAAGCAGTATGTGATTTTGTAGTTATAACAACTGCACAGGCAACCTTGATCTGGCATTTCCTGACATTTGTGCTCTCGACTTTGTAACCCTATTAACACTGTTTTTATGTCTAAGAATAATAAAGACTTTGTATTCATAGCACCTTTTACTCAAGGATCTCCAAAGCACTTTAGGATTACTCATTAACAGGGCTCGCCAAGCGGCAGCAAGCCCTGCTCGCCAGCCGCGCTGTTCTGCGTTCTTCGCGTGAGCAGATTGCTCTGCACCGGCTCTTCCAGGTTGTAATCGACTCACCACGGGCAAGTAGATTACATTATTTGTCGAGCCCTGCTCATTAAGCTCACAATTGTCTTCTCTTACAGGGAAACGGTTCTCAACAAGGTGAAGCCAAGCATGACTGTGTCCGGCCCTGAAGCAGTCCCCGACCCCAGCCAACCCCACACGCCACTCACCGGAACCCGAACATGATCTCGTCATGGCGAAGGTGGGCGTCGTCGTCGATAGACAGAATGGCCTCTGTCTCGATCTCATCCCATGGCAGGAACCTGTTGTTCAGACTGTTCTTTTCCGTGCGGACAACCTACCAAACATACAACGGTTATAGCTAGCCATTCACCAGTCTGACAGAACAGCTCGAGAGACACGGGCAAGCCACCGCAGCAGCTGCAATTACAGGGCCACATTTCTATATAATTCTATGCAATTTGGCCCCCGTACTTCATAAGCTGTAAGGTCTCTGCTCCCACGATGAACTCAGTGAATTCCAGCTCCTCGAATTGCTGATTTTCGCCTGTCTTACTTGGTTGATGGAGCCTCTCCACATTAAGGGGCACATCCTTTGGCAGGCATGAATCAGATTAATTCCCCTGACATTAGATGGAGCCAATTTACACCAGAACATAAGAACGGCCATACGGGATCAGACCAGATGTCCATCTAGCCCTGTATCCTGCTCGCCTACAGAGGCCAATGCCAGATGCCCCAGAGGGAGTAAACAGAACATGCAATCATCAAGTGATCTCTCTCCTGTCACCCATTCCCAGCCTCTCATGAACAGAGGATAGGGACACCATTCCTACCCCTCCAAGGTAATAGCTAATAACCTCCATGAATTTAACTAGCTCTTTTCTGAACCCTGTAAAAGTCCTGGTCTTCACAACATCCTCTGGCAAGGAGTTCCACAGGTTGACTGCATTGTGTGAAGAAAAACTTCCTTTTGTTTTGTTTTAAACCTGCTACCTATTAATTTCATTTGGTGATTCCTAGCTTTTCCTTATTAATTTTCTCCACACCACTCATGATTTTATAGACCTCTCTCATAACCCCCCCCTTAGTCTCCTCTTTTCTAAGATGAAAAGTCCCAGTCTTTCTAATCTCTCTTCATAGACTTGAAGGCCTTCTGAGGTCTCTTCTGGTTCTAAGTGGCACCCATTCCAAACCCCTCATTATTTTTGCTGCCCTTTTCTGAATTTTTTCCAATACCAAGATACCTTTTTTGAGATGAGGAGACCGGATCTGTGCACAATATTCAAGAGGTGGGCATATCATGCATTTATATAGAGGCAATAAGATGTTCTCTGTCTTATTCTCTATCCCCTTTTTAATGATTCCTAACATTCTGTTTGCAGCTGCGGTTCGGGCCCCGCGTTGTTACTCAGAATCATTATATCAAGCTCAACATTTTACTCACTGTTTCCCATCAATTTCCTGACAATCTATAAAAATAACTGAATGGCTGACATTAGAGATGAGGAAGGTCCGTGAGGACTGCTAGCCCATACCCCGGCTAGTGAAGGTCTGACCTTGCGATATATTTTCCAGTGTTTTGTCCAGTCTAACCTTAAGCATATTGTGGGATGACGTACCCTGCGATCAGATCGTATAAATAAATCTAATTGTCACACAGTTTCCCCACATATTCATCCTAAAATTTCCCTTTCTTATATTCATTCCATTTCCCCAAGCTCTATACTCCTGAAAGTATATATTAAATTGCTCCTGCTTCCTCGTCGATTACACTTTCAAATATGAACCTGCCTCCAACACTCTTTGTTATTCACCCCTCGCCTAATCAAGCTATAACTAATTCAGTTCTCTTAGGTCTTCCCTCCTGAGATCCATCTCTCCAGCCCTTTAATCATGTTCGGTTTCTCTCCTCTCAACCATCACCCCCCGTTTTAAAACCGATAGCCCGCAACCTGGTGAAAAGAATAAAGCATCAAGGCAATCAGACTCCATTAAATAAGATTACATGCGATCATATGAAAAGCCACACTGAAACCATTCGCAGTGGAAAGTATTTGTATCAGGGAGCTGTGTGACAGCTGGCGTGATTAAAGTGCCATGTAAAGCCAGCGTTCGTGCTCTCTTCTGTCAATAGCAACTGGGGGAAAAATGGAAGGCTCCACAGAAAGGCATTAAAATATTTCACCAAAGATCCATCAAAAACACCAACGATTTATTGCAGAGAGTGAACACATTATGCAACTCGAAGCGGGAGTGTATCACAGCCAAGCAGGCAGCGCTCACGCAGCAGACGGGCTGTCTATTCAATTAGTTCGCATTGGAGGATGCTAACCACACAGAGACACACACTATGAGAAGACGGATTTTTTTTTGGCGGGGGGGGGAGGGGAGGTCCACGGCAGTGAAGTGACAAAACGAGAACAGCTTTTGTGTTTCTGTCAGGCCTCATTCAGCGGATACAAACAGATGAGCTCAACAAGCCGTCTTCTATCAGGGAACTACCTCCGATGGCAGCTTCCTACACAAATCCCGCTCGAAGTGGCTCTGGAGGAGGGTCGCGGGTTTAGATTAAGCCAGAGAGGGTGTTCAAAGCAGAGGGAGCAGCATGGATAAAATGGGGGTTACAGATTGGCACGGTCACTTGGTAAGAGACAGGTTGTGAAGGGCTTAGGGCCTGACCATGGGGCAGTGGAAATACGGCACGGACGGAAGTAGCGGGAGTCAGAAAGGCGAGCGAGTAGGAGGTTTCCAGACTCCCAATGGGAAGCCGCAAGGACCTGGACAAGAGTGTGAGCCATGTGGTCTGGGACCAAGGGGCAATCCTAGCAATGCTACTGAGGCCGAAGAGGTTGTAGCCTGAGCGTGCGGGACAGGCGAGGGGGAGGAGTCAAGGATGACCCTGGGATGCAGCTCTGGGTGATAGAAAGGATCGAAACATCTCTGACTGGCCGTGTCGCTGCCCTGAGCAAACAGCTCAGCTGATGATGCCCCAGGAGCAAAAATGACTCTGCAGGAGCAAAAATGTATTTCAGCCGATGTGGCACTGAGCAGGCCCGGCGATGGCCTGGAGAAAGTCGCCTCTCAGAGGAGAGGCAGCACTTTCGGCCGTCAGGGTGATGTTGCAGGATGAAACTGCCAGTTGGTGCTTCCCAGCTGCTCAACGGGTCACCGGATATTGTCCGAGCCCTCGCTTTACAGGAATTCGGCACAAAGGATGGCAGGCATGGAACAGCCTCGATAAAATGACATTAGGGATGTTAAATATCGGTTAATTGAATAGTCGAGTAACCTCATGAATTCTTATCGGTTACTCGACTATTCTTTTGTCCCCGGGGGCAGGGCCAGCAGCCAGTGCATTCCGGTCTCACTCCTCAGGAGCCAAGCCCCCCTCATGGACTAACTGCCTGTTGCCCAATGCTGCTGCCTCTGATAAAGAGGCAGCAGCATGGGGTGGCAGTGAGCTCCCAGACCTGGCATGAGCTGAAACTGAGCTGGGCTGCCTGCCCGTGTGGCTCCTAATACACTTCAAATGTAGAGCTGCACCGGGGGTAGTCCTGGACCCGTCGCAAGCCAGGAGTGAGCCAGGCTGCTAAAAAATTTACTGGTCGGGGGGAGCAATGGGGGGGGGGGTGGGGGAAATGCATGTAGTCTATAGCATTCATCTATAAGCTTTTGCTTACTGGTTAATCGACTACACTATTGCATCCCTAAATTACATGCCAAGAAAAGCCTGTGCGTCGCAGCCAGCCGTTCAGAAAAATCAGATCTGGGAGGAAGTGGAGGCAGAGAAAAACCACCCTTCTGTCTATTTAATTGAGAGCTATTAACTCCCATCTCCAGCCCGGTTACCATTTCTCATCTGATGTATTATTGCATTTACAGGGTTGCAACGTTAGCAGGGGGATGCGAAATGCCTCAGTGTGCTTCCTCCGTCCTACACATTGTGGATGCCTCTTCCTGCCTGCATTCTAACAGCTTTGCTCCCTTGCACACCAGCTCCCGAGGGATTACTAAACAGCTAAGTCAGTGTCAGGCTTGGGCAGCTATTGTAAAAACGGCTGGAGAGACGCTTTCAAAGTTCATGACGTCGGTGAGAGCTTCTCCAGTAAGCTACAGCCTTGTGTTCCGGTGGGAGCCATTCATCAGTCCGTACGTCTGTTCAACAATACTAAATGGGTTTCACTCCCTTATGGATGTCATGCTGCATTATTACAATAGGCCTCATTTTCCCTGGTCGTGTCTTGTGGGAAAATCCTGGCCATCGGTGACTTGGGAAAGAATATTTTCTTCCTCTCTGCAGCACTTGACTTGCATTGCCTGTGCCTAAGTAACGAACTATACAGCCAATATAATTCCGGTAGGGAGGAGAACATATTGATACACTGCACATCTCGCCCGTACAATGGGATGTCTTATCTTAACGATGTCGGCTCGCCTGCAAGCCTAGAGAAGTCCTGTCAATGATTCTGGTGGGAAGTAGATTGAAACCACAGAGAACTATAAATAAATTTTTAATAAATTAATGCAGATTGCCTATCTCCTAGAACTGGAAGGGACCTTGAAAGGTCATCGAGTCCAGTCCCCTGCCTTCACAGCAGGACCAAGTACCATCCCTGACAGTTTTTGCCCCAAATCCCTAAATGGCCTCCTCAAGGATTGAACTCACAACCCTAGGTTTGAATGATTACCGCTATAGCATCAAGAGCGTGTCAGGGAATTTACACCCTGAGGCGCTCACAAGCTAAGTAGGCAATGGAAGGATGAAAGAAGCAGGGAGGAAGAACAGCATCAGGCAGAGAGAGAGAGAGAGAGAGAAGTTTCTTCTAGGGATGTGAATGGGTAACCGGTTACTCACTAAGCATCACTCTTAATGGTCAACTGTTACCCACGGGAGGTCCCCATCTTCTGCAGGCAGAGGGTTGCTCTAGCCCTGCGGCATGGTGGCTGCTTCAGCCCAGCTGCGGTAGGGAGAAGGGGCCCATGCTCCAGCTGGCCCTCCCTGCTCCCGATTAATCAGTTAACCGGTTAACTAATCAAACAGGATTTACATCCCTAGTTCCTTCTCCCTTCCATAAGCAACAGGTTGACTTCACACCTCTCTCACTGGCCTGCTAACCAGAGGTCAACGTAAAAGACAAAAACCATAGAAAAGAATCCAGGAGCCGTCTGGGGAAAAAAACCTCAACACGCTTCCTCTTCCCAGTGCTGGAAGGTGGCAGGGCTGAATTTCTGGCCAGGACACTGCTCCAGGACCTCATGGACGGGGCCTTGGCCAAATACAGCCAAGTCCTTCCATTGGTTGGAAAGTGGGCCTATGTTAGATCTGGACTTGCTAGTCTCTCCAACGTTAAAGGCTATTCAGATCCCGGGGGCAAGATGGACAGTTTTTATCCACGTCTTCCGCTCCCCAAAGCATGAGGCTGTTGGGATCTGGGGTTTGACAATTGTCCTGATTTATACCATTTCAGGATCATATTTATACCAGCTCACAATCTGGCCTACTGCCATCTGCTGGCCAGTGGCTAGGCATCTACGTCTGGGATGCTCCCAGTAGCTAGAACCCTTGTGGGCAGCCTAAAAGCTCCACAATGAATACCATGGAGCCTGTCCCTGTGGAAGCCAGCATGACTGGCTGGCTGGGGAAGCTTGCATTGCTGCTGCCCATGCT